AGCTCCAACTTCTCTCTCGTGGATTCATGCACACCGCAATGCAAGCTTTGTACAAAGGTGTGCAATTGAAGCCGTAGTGAAACGAATGAGTTCGTTCGGACGTGGCGATTTAACGGATAGTCCTTATTTGCGGAATTTTCGGTGTATGACCTAATCATTAGAGTGTTCTTTTCCGATTGAAAAATGCATTTTAAACAACCCAAATCTCAGACAAGCGAGTAAGTAATTATAATTCATAGCAGGTCATTAATGAAAATACATATCAACTATTTTTTTTATATCACATAATTAATCAATTTTCATATTTGCATTTTATAATGAAATCATTTATATTTATCATGATGTAAATAATAATAACGTTACACACACACACACACACACACACACACACACACACACACATATATATCACATCGTTATAACGATATTTCAATTTGTTAAAGAACGATCTATAATGAGTTAACGCGATAAAAATTTAACATACTCGAAACTACTTAAACATCAAATTAATTAGCCGGAAGCACAAAATCACACCAACACGTATCAGCTTGTAATTGCTGTAATTCCGCGTGTTCGTTCCCCACACGAACGCGAAATTGGGTCGCGAAACTCGACGTGTGGCCACGTCGTTTCTTTATTACCGTCAAAATTTTTGCGGCCGCCGCATTTCACACGTGCCCGCGGTATTTGACAGGAAACATGGAATGTATTGCAGCATGGAATGTATTGCGAGAAGTGAGAATTTAGGCAAGAGGCGCGAGGAGAAGTCGGCGCGCGCGCGCGTGATCGTTAACGGAGCGCGTGCTTAAAATACCTGCGAAACCGGAAGGACTCCGCCAATCGAACTTTTGATGTGTGTACAGACACACCGGTGTATGTACATACGTACCGAGGTGATCCACTGCAGTTACTGCACTGCAGCTATTGTATGCATCGTACGTGATACGAGTAATAAGTTATAACTTTATCAAACCGGATGGCATGTATCGTTGTGACACCAAATGTGCGCATAAATATAAATATACCTTTCTCCTCGAGACGATTGCATAAGAGTGTTTTTGAATCACATTGGAATCTAAGGATTTTATCTTAAAAAAAGTTCAAATTATTTAGTTGTATTTTCGCAAAATTTGTTTACGAAGAAACATGTAAAGTAAAAAAAAAAAAAAAAAATAAGTATTGCTAGGTGAAAAAAATAAGAGCTTATACGTTATCTCCAAGTATGATTGCAAGAGAAAAAGATATAAAAGAGAACAATACTTTAAACAGTACAGTTAGATACCTTTTGAGTTGGGAGAAATATCGATCTTACGAAGATTCAATTGGAGCACTCGAGGTATAATTCTCTTTTCTTTGTCCACTTCGATCTCGTTCGAGCGCCGGATGTGAAAGAAAAAAAGGAAACCTAAACTCATCTCAACCCTTTCGTAAATTCTTGAAAATCCTTTATTGCGAAATAGCCGTGACATTTTAACTAGAATGGAAAGAAAAGCGCGCGAAATAGAATTATCTAAAAGTCGCTCAAATGTAAGCTCAGATATCTTGACTCTGATCAGTGAGCCCTTGTAAAATCAAAATGAGAAGGATTAACATAAGTTTTTTTTTCTCTCTCTACAATAAGGAAACTCATGAAACACAGCAGAGAGCGCATGTCCACACACACATATATATATCTCTTTGTTTTAATTAAATTCTTAATTCTCGATCGCAGAGCTACCGCAATTACGTACGTGCACATACAGATAAGAGATTCACGAGTTTGCGCTCAGGCGACACAGGCACATACGCGGACACACATATACTCACACGCGCACACGTACATATACATATATCTTTATTTCCTTGTCTGACCATTAATCGCAATCCAATCGTTTAATTATACAGTTCCGCCCTCTGTTTAATGGGCCCCGCCTAATTGGGCGCTCAAGACTTCACGATATACGCGGAGGTATTGTATTACGCACACTCTGAAAAAATATCTCGGCGCTGTACATCGGAGCATATATCTTACAAATTACGAAGGGGGCGTACACGAAGGAACGCTCGTCACATTGACTTTCCTCGCGTTTGTCGACCGACGACGACGACGACGACGACGACGACGACGATGACGACGACGACGACGATCAATAACGGTCAATTACGGTCGTACGTTCAATTAACCACGAGAAAGAATGACGAAATATCAGAGTAAAGGTGTAATTATTAATGCGTTTGAATGAAATTAAGGAATGAAATAATGGTTCACGTCGAATATAATAATTTCAAAGTTCGAAACATTCCATTTAAAGGAGGAAAGGTCTGCGCGCCGGGGTCGTTATTCCTTTCCTTACTTATGCCAATATACGGATTTCGCACGATCGGATTTTCCTACGAACGTACCTCGTAATGTCGTTAACGAATTCGTCGATAACGATCCTTCGTGCTTGTTCTGTCGTCCCTCAGAGAAGAAGGAGTTTAACCTCGGGCATCTCGCAAATAAAGTCTCTCTCTTCTCGATGTCCCCTTATGTACAAGATATTTACACTCTGTCTCCGCTGCGTAAATGCAATGAAGACTTTTATATATATATATATATATATATATATATATATATGTATATCTCTCTAAGATGTACACGCATGTACATTTGTACGGTGCACAACGTATGGCGACGCGCGAAAGGTACTCCTCGATTTCTCTTCGTTATCTCGATGACGAACTCAATGAAAACGAATGCGACATGGCAGTTGTAAGGTTGTGCGTTTTGGCAGTAGTCCTAGGACACAGATTTGTCCATAAAATTTCGTCGCATGTCACGGCAGTCTGCTTGTTAAGGGATCAATAGGAAGCGAAAATCAAATTTTCGGCCGCCAAAACGGTAAATTACATCGCACGTTTATTACGAGTTTGCGACTTACATTAACTCAAATTATATTGTAATTAATATCTCATAAATAAAATTACATTATTTCTAAATTTATTTTCTTCATTCATTCTTAAACGCTTCTTTTTAAAATGCAGTACTGCTCAAATTGTAAATCTGAATTTCGCGATTGCAAATAAGATTGTCTTGCCGGGGATATAAAAACCGATAGCAGACGAAAGAAATGAAGCATTATTCCGAGACTGAGATATTTCAATGAAGCTCAAACTCCAATTAAGTTGGAAGAATATAGCACGATATAATTTACCGTTGTCAAGCCGCTTTCAATTTAACAGTTCTGCAACGTTTATTGTCTCTGATCCCGTCGCAAAATACTCTCCGATCGAACAAAACCGTAATTACGGATAATGCGTAGATGCTCGTCGCTATTGAACGATGCGCAATGTACAAGGTACGTTTTGTTAATTAGAATTAATATACATATTTTCGGAGCCCAGCAGGTCGTCAACGTACGTGGTTTATCAACGCACACGGTAATTTCGATAATTATAGTCTAAATTTACTCCGTGCCTCGTCTCCTCGAGGAAAAGTCGCTATTTACAATTTGCTTTACGCATATGAGGATGTATGTCAGGTCAGCTCTTGGAAGAAAGTCCTTTCGCATTATCGTGAAAATTCGACTTTCGTGAAATTTCCCTCGCGGATATTATTCAGTTCACACCGCGCGCGGTTAGATACGAAAAGTCGTGCAAATAGACTAGAGAGTTGTAACGATGGAAGGATAAAGAACAGATTCAGACCGCGAAGAAGAGAATCGATAGTCCCGCTTATTTTATAGTCAGCAAATTTACTCTTACCTTAGTTCTTTCCGTTTTGTGTGTGTGTGTGTGTGTGTGTGTGTGTGTGTGTGTGTGTGCGTGCGCGCGCGCGCGCGTGTATGTGTGCGGTATACTGCAAATAATTCAGAATAAATGTCGATACGTCGAGATTTAATAAGTCAATTCTCACCCAACACGTTGAAATATATAATATAGATAAAGTTAATTTCGAAAAAATTCAATCGTTCGAACAGCAACACATGCGACTGATTATTTCAATTGTTCTCTTAATAGTTAAGTTGATTCTGCATGGAGAAAGGATTTTGTCGACGTGCATTTATTTACATTATGATGAGACCGGAAAATGAAATTATTCATTGATACTTTTCGATAGAAAATGAAATTAAATGGCGGAAAAGGACGAGAGTATGTCTTTGACATAGAGAAAATCTTCACGTCGGATTTTCGTAACTGCTGTGCTTTATATAGTTGCACTTGTTTCGCGTCGCAGCTGCCAGTACGGAAAATATTTCGCGGATTTTCGCGGAATAAGTCGATCTTTCTTTCCGGCGCGGATCGTCTCCGTTCTCGAAATTTACCGTTGCACTTGGTGCGGCGTAATCGACACGATACGACACTCCAAGAAAAAGAGAGAAAGAGAATATCGTCGATCTCGTAAAGACGCGCCATTCTACGAAAATACACTCAATGCGACGATCTTCTTTATTCCCATACCTACTTTGCGATACAAAGTATACTCCCGGGAAAATCTACATTCGCCGTTGCGAGACATAGGTACATCGATTTTTCCTCCCGCGGCACGAGCATCCTCGAAATGCGGAAACCTAGATTTTTGGACATGTTTCTTTCTATTTCATCAGCCATTCGGTCAATCGATGAGATCTCGGCTGAATATTTGCAGATTTTTTTTCAGACGCCGATATTTCTTAAATCGAAAAGATGGTATCATATGAGGATGTTCTCACATGAGAAATTTAATTTTGTAATCGTGTGACATTTTCGATTAACGCGTTTTGTATATATGAGTGAATGAGTGTACGTATATGTATTTTTTCTTCGATTTTATTTATTATAATATAATATAAATTTCTGCAATGCATATATTTTTCGTAAAATTCGAAATTGTTTTAAGTCTTTTATAAAACCTGGTTTATTAGAATTTAATTTCTGTTAAATTTCATTAATTTTTATTGCGTACTTTCATAATGTGAAATACTAAAGATAAATAAAATCTTTGAAAATTGGGCAGTGATGAACTTAATCTTTTTTTTATAAATTTTTATATTACATTTATATAAAGTGTATGTGTGTGTATATGCCATATAAGCGAAACATAATAATAAAACGTCAAAACGAAGGAATTTGGTGTGTTACTCGATATTGGAATTTTTCGATATGTATTCTTCAAGACCATTTGGTCAGTTCTGCAGTGCCTCGACAGGATTTGCAAACTGATGCAATAGATAGATAGTGTTCAAAGACATCCGGCTCTTTCGTTATCCTCCATACGATTCACCTTTATGACTCTCTTACCAAAGGGCAACTATCCGATCGTTTTCCTCGTTGTACGGCCGTCGGTCGTCGGTCACGATTCACGAGAAGTTTGTCCATTTCAGACACAAGCACTGCCACTCGGTGGTCGTTGGCGTCGAGCGAAGTAGTCCGTACCTCTGAAAGCTGAGCGATCACGTCGCTCGACGTGCTCACGCGACTGTCCCGACGCGTCGCGGACGAAACTTACAATTCGCCATCGTTTAGGCATACCTTTCCCGAGGGAACTCATCGAGAGGACGTCGTCGGGGAAAGGCAGAGTCCAAGAATCGAAAGGTCGCGCACCACGAAGACGCGCACGATCGCCACGAGCCGGCGGCCATATCAGACGTAGTACTCGTTGACGTTGAGCGCGTCGGTGTCGCGTCCCTATACGCAGCTCTCCTGGGTCGAGATCAGGGGCGTGCGGACGGTGACGACTTCTCTCGCCGGGTGATGCTTGCCGCTCGTCACGGTGGCGACGGTGAAATCTTGAATCACGTTCGCCGTCGTTAGGGGAGTGGTCGTGCACGACGACGCATTGGAGACGTCCACTTTGGGCGGCCTGGCGTTGTGGTCGATGCAGGCATAGACCGTGGCTTCCTTCGTGTACGGCTTGCCGCCCACGATCACCCCGAGACCGCTCCCGTAACCCTGAAGACCACCCAGACCGCCGACTCCGCCGCCGAGACTAGCCAGTTTGGCATCGGTCACCAGATTCGACAGGGTGGTGGGTCTCGCTAGGCACAGTTCGGCGTACGTCACCTCCCCGGACAACTGGAAAAAGAAGATTAGGGTTTACGTTGCGCGAAAAATATTTTGGAAATGGAAGAGTGTCGCTGCAAAGAAAATTTTGACCTTTTGGCATGGCGGCGAGTGCCAAGTTGAGTAAAAATATAACCGCGAATACTCGAGTTATATAAGCATATCGACGGATATGTAATAGCAAACAGGAGGATAACGCCAATTGAATGAAGTTCATTGAATCATACGATAATCACCAGTTTCTACATGAGCCTTGAATCCGATTAGGGATTAAGCATGTGTATTGTTTCCCATCGATCGAATCTGCCGCGTATTACGCAATAAGTCCGCTCGGATGTCTAATGACACGTGGGTAACAGGAGATTAAGCCAATTTCAATACATTAACGTTGGGTTATAGATATGCATGCTGAGCCGTAATCCGCCAAAGTAAATGCAACTGCTATACTGCAACGCGTGTAGCCGGACATTTAAATAATCCCCATGCCCCATAAGACGCTCAACTTTTGCGATAGGGCCAAAGCATTCCTAAGAAACCGGGGGAGTTTTCGCGGAGCATTTTCCCTAGTCCCGGGACTTAGATAATACGGACAGGTCTAACTTTTGGAATTTTCATTCCTGAATATTCCTGAGAGACCGCCTGGACTCTAGTTAGCTCGTATCGTGAAAACTTTTGACGGCGAGAGTTCCTTCGACTGTTTAGGACAGAAACCCTTGAGTGCCCGACGCCATTTCCTATAAATTTGGACGCGAAACAGCGCGTGGAATGTTTCCTCGCGACGAAACATAGAGGAAAAGATACGACATAGACCAAGTTCTTCGCGGGAGCGAGCTGGCTCGTAAGATTTCATTACGTTAAAAAATTAATGAAGAAAGAAATTACAAGTTCCATAAATTTTCACACAGAGTACTGGTTTTTATACCGCCGTGGTTTCGCCGCCAGACTCTCTATCTGCGCTCTCTATGGCGATCCACATTTTATCGAGATTTCGCAAACTCCAACAATTTTCTACGAGTGCTCAAGATTATGAATTCCACGTTGATAATCGCCCGTCCCGCCTATTCTAGAAACGTTTCAAATTCAACGGAAGGATTTGAACAATTGGTATTTAAAGAAAAAGCAACAATTAACTGAGGGAAAGCGGAATACAAAAATCCTTAGCGATCATCAAAGTTTCCCACTCTAGAGTTTTGTTCTTGCCGAGGTTTTACTAACCGAATTTTAGATCCCCGCGGTAATTAGCAATTAATTTGGTGTGAAATTGAGGGCGAAGCTTCAGCGGATCGTGACGAAAGTAATCCGAGAGGAGATCGGAGAGAAAATTTGAAAGGGAGTACGTAACGAGAAGAGATCGCGTTTTGATTCTGACCGTTTCTCGCGGGTTGCTAATTTTTTTTTTTTTACATTTACCACGAAACAATTAACAATTGTACACAAAATGTAATTTTACTTGGGAAGATCGTTATTTGTAAGTCGTAGCGTTCGTACATCTTCGATCCAAGAGTGTTCTCCAAAATCGAGGAGAGACAGTGGACAGTGCAATTTTCTAGTTTCGAACTGCTGGAAGCGTTGAAACTTTACGCAGCACCATCCGCTTCGGATGGATACTGTTATTTCAAACTACACCGCTGGAGGACTTTCTTGAAAATGTTGGCCAAGGCTTTTCGCGAACCTCGAAGGGAAAAGGGAACGACGCGACGGTACGACAACGGCACGATTTGGCGAACTGCTACGCTTCTTCCATTTCTTTGCACTCCACTTCCTCAGTTTCCCATCTCATTGGATGAACCTATTAACTTTATTAAAACGTCCCTCGCTTGCTAGACTAACGAAATTCTCGGTGATTTAAATCATCGACTTTAATTGTTTAAAGTTCCGCTTTGCTGCAAGCGGTACATATTACATTCATTTCCCTCCCGCGAAATTAGGACATCCATTTATATGTAATGGCTATAACAACTATATGGCACGTGGTTGTACCGAGTGGGACAACAAAGTATAATCTAACATAGATTCTGGAGGGAATTGTTAGAGATTGTTAGAGAATTGGCTTTTGCATTTGGCGGCTATTCACCAAAGGGTTTCGTACAATTACAATACGTAATTCCATTATCTTACAAACTGAAAATATATTAATATTTATTACTATGGTAAAATAATGAATTTAAAAATAATGAATTTAAAATAAAGTTATGGATAGAACATAAAGTTTTTCCTTCTATAAAAAATTTCATTTGATTGACGAGTGATGGATAAGAAAGGAAGTTGAGTAAATAATGAGAATAAATTAAAAAAACAAACATATACAAATAAATGAATAAAAAATGCGCAATAGGAGGAGAATAAAACAATAATTTAAAAAATATCTTAATACATGCATTTTTATGAAATTTTAATCAAAAATTTTCCATTTTTATATTAGCCATACAGGATCTGTCAATTTGAAATTTAATCATATTTGACATCAATGTGCCATAAAAATTTTATATATGCATTTTTATGAGATTTTTATTTTCGTTCCCGTCGTATCGTATCCATTTTGAATTTCGAAATTTGAACTTCGTATTTGATATCAACGCAATTTATAAAGATTCCCTACATATGCATTTTTATAAGATTACTATTAAATTTTTATTTTCCTGCCTATCGCATTTACTATTTCAAATCACATTTGACATCATTGATTAAAACAAATTTCTATACGTGTTTTTTAATGATTAATAATTTTTCAATAATTGTTCAATTATGAAATCTAAGTAATTTATTATTTTTTATACGTATATCATCAGACATTAAGCTTTTTCCTGATATAAAGTCGGGAAAATTAATGAATCTCATTAAAGAAATGTTCATTAATACTCACCGGTAAGGTTGGATAATTGTTATAGTCATTATGTGAATAGGCGGGAAGTCCTTGTAGGTGATTATTCGTCTGAGTCGGAAGGGACGATGGTGGAAGACCGTCCGGTGTGTTTTGCGTTGCCAGCGGTGTGCCGGAAGTTGAGCCGGTTAGCTGATAATCTGAATCTTTTGTTTTAAAAAAGTACATAAAAAAATTTATAGCAAGATATTAAATATAGTCTTGTTGAAAAGTCCGCTTTTCAGAGGAATCTTGAAATATCAATTAGAATTTACGTAAATAAACGTGAATTCTTCAAGTAATATAACAAGATATATAGCAAAAATATCAAAAATATACTTTTGACAAATATATTATTATTAATATAATGTCCATTGTCTGTTTAATTTCTAATTTCTAAATAAATTACACATATATATTTATATGAAGTGTATATATAAATAAAACATTCTTCTTCGGAGCGTCATAAATTAATATTGAAAAATTGTGCTAGTCCCAAGATAATTTATTGATTTAATCTACATTCATTAAAAATTAATTCGATGTTACAAAGCGCCATGACTGTGCAAATTATTCATAGAATTTACTATATCATTCGTTGAAAAGAAAACCGCGATGTAACGTGTTCGTTATGCTATTAAACTAGTTAAATCATTAATTCACATCGTGATGACGCATTGAACTTTATCGTAATAAACTAATAACTACAAAGCATTACTAATGTATCGATACCTGGCTTAATTCACCGAGGAGCGGTACGCTAATGCGATATGTTAATTAAATAATAATTTGTATCTAACCAGATATCGTTTTGATCGTGATTAAATAATTAACTAAGTATATCGCGATCCAGAGCAATTTTCTTCATTAAATTAACAAATGACAAATTAGCACACTGACTTTCGGTTGTAAATAGAAAATGACAAGTAATTATAAAAAAAAATAATTTACTTTGTTTTTTAGAAAAAGTTCCCGCCAATATTTTTTTTTAATGATTTTTAATTTCCAATAAAAATCCAATAGAAAATGGTGCGTTTATAAAAAATTGGAATATTTTTAATGTGATAAAAACTGTAAAGCTGTGACTGTATCTTTAGAATCGTATTGTTAGATTAGCAATAATAAGGCTCGATAGCAACAATTCAAACGTTACATATCGGATTCGCATAAGCGCCGCTTGCGCCGGGGCTAGGTGAACGAGTCGTCCTCGTAATCGGCCGAGTAATTTATTAACAAGTTCGGGGTTAAGTTCTATGGTTACCAGCTGTATGCTCAACCATAACCGCGTTCGCAACAGTGCTGTTGCCGCGGTATTATCGCGAGCGATGTAATGACGCGCAGCACAGCGTTGCGCGATGCTGTTAACGAATCGTGGCGTGGTTGTGTTTCGCAATAGAGTCCGCTGAATTTCTGGGCTCGAGTACAATACTTGGCCAAGTGTTCTCGATCGCTGTCAATCAGATATTACGCTTGAAAGCTAACGGCGGGCAATGTAGCTGATAAAATTTCCACGTTGCGTCAAACGTCAAATCCTCGAAACAGCAACGTTTAACATTGTCCTTTCTCGTCGTTCTCTTTTTTTTTTTTTTTCGTCTAAATTCACGTTTTAACTCACTAATGCATAATAAAATATTTCGAATATCATTCATCTCCATTATATATCTCTAAAAATTTATAATTAATAAAATCAAAGAATTTAAAAGTGTTCGTGAAGCGACGCACGTACAAAGTTATTTTATTAAAGTAAAAACGGATAAAAAAAAAGAGATCTAACAGAAACAAGGGAATTAAACGAATGGAAAACTCGTTTCGGTTCGGCTGATTCTCTTTAATTACTATCCAAATTGGAAGCCTGGCGTTTCTAAAGTAAATTCGCTAAAACGTATGTAAAGAAAAGTGGTATAACTAGACACCTCTTCGTTCATGTACGCGAGTAATTAAGTCTGCTATTATCTAATTTTAAAGACGGAGGATAAACGAGAGAAAACTGAAATATTATTCGCGTGCAATTTGAGCTTGATTACAGTGCCTGGTTATTATCGAACGGCACGAAATCGGAAATCTCTCTCAGCGTCGTTGTATCCTACACTTTTCAATCATTTTGTGCAATAAATTTACGTGCGATTCTTCAGCATACTGACTTTCGGTTGTAAATAGAAAATGACAAGTAATTATAAAAAAAAAAAGATAATTTACTTCGTTTTTTTTAGAAAAGTTCCTGCCAATATCTTTTTAATGATTTTTAATTTCCAAAAATCCAATAGAAAAAAAATGGTGCGTTTATAAAAAAATTATTGGAATATTTTTATGATATGATAAAAACTGTAAAAGGGAAACGTCAGACACGAGTTCTTCAAAAACTTACGATAGAAACACGGAATTTGTTTCATACGTAGAAGTTGCCAATCGAAAAGCAGCGTGTGTCGATAGAAATGCACACCTGCCATACCCCTCGTCCTTAGTCGTGGTAGATCCATTTGAAATTTTCAGGGCAAACATGAATCGAGCGTCAATCGACATATCGCGCAGCGATACGTGTTATGCGTTATTCGTAGCGCACAACGTAGTGTACGTTGCGTTACTGCACGCGATTTGCGCGGCCAAATAATTTCGTGCATTGTCCGAATTTTCCCAACCATACGCGCCGCGTCGGTTGGGTATACCCGTAGAGGATACTTCCGAATTTTTTATTTATGCATTCGTGCATTTCCCGCGTAAAGTGCGCATCTGCTAACGACGCAAATGTTAAATAAATCGGCAATAAAACCGATGGGCGTGACGCGCGTTCGTTTAATGCTCGTGTAATTTTTCGTATGTATATAAAGCGTTTGATATGTCCGCCGTTTTATTGACCTTTCACGTGCAAAGACAGGTCTCGGGAAACGTACCTTTGTTGGTTGGCACAACGTCCGGATTTCTGTCGTCCGCGTCGTAAAGGTCTTCCGAGCTCGGTGCAGTGGCCTTCTTTAGAGGCAAATCGCCCGGCCTTTGAGCTCGCCTCTCACTTCTCACTTTCAGCGCGGCTAGAATGGTGACGGTGACGAGCAAAAGTGCGGTGACCACGCCGATCAAAGTTCCGAGTAGCGGAGTGAACTCGAAGGGTACCGGGGTACCTGTGAACAAAACGCGCACTGCTCTCGTGCAAGTACGTCGAGTGCAAGTTTCTTCGCGTCCACATTAAAGAAAGTAAAGTAGTTTTTTTTTTTTTTTTTTTTTTAAATGTAACTTTCTTGGACCGCAGGATCGGAATAAATTTGCGATAGTGTGGTGAGTAATTAATTGTTACGTCTAATACAATTGATACAAATACAAATTTCGTATATTTGCGGGAATTCTGTGCTTTTTGTATTCGAAAAATAAATTCCGTTCATGCGAAACGATAAAGCAGCAGCCCCGAGGAAAGTACCGATGGGACAATTTTCCGGACGGAGGGCTGCGGAGGGTAAACGGGTTAAACGAGTTAAAGTCGCATTACGCGACGTAAAAAAGATTCGAGATATTTGGCCCGCGCAAGAATGGAGCCGTCTGACTATCTACCTACCATTTCTAAGATTAATGAATTCGAATCCTTTTGATATCTCTTCACGTTTAAACACCGTTCCCGGGCGACGTTTAATTTTCCACGCGGCCGTCTTCCGCCGCGTCTTTCCTTCGTACTCGCGCGCGCACACACTACTCGCTGTCGCTCTACCCGTCCGTTTTTTAATCTCTTTCCTTAGCCAGGGCCCTCCTGAGAGACATCGCTCGTAATTGCCACTCGTTTTAGTCACGAGCGACCGAGTGTTTTTACTCCGTGCTCCGATGCACAGCCAAAGTGCACGTTAATTTTTAATCAAGGCAAAAGTGCACCGGAGTACCCATGATATTTACCTGCCATCTACCTTCCATCGTCACCTCTGCTTTTCCCCTATTTCCGTTTTTAATTCTAGTTGATTTTTAGAAACACGTTTTTGTTCGACGATTTATTCCGGGCTCTCTGGTAAAATCTCGTAAAATCCGACTTTTATGCAATCTATAATTCGTATTATATTTAAAAAAAAGTATTACTTATACTCTTACGCATATTTTGATATTTATGTGTATTTTAATTTACATTATATACATATGTATATTTGGATTTTCCTTTAAATATTTTTTTTTTATATTACGCCGCACGTGGAAATAAATAAATGGAAATTATTTCGAATTTGACACGAGTTGTAGAAAATTTTATGCACTAAAAAATTGTAAAATCAGATTTTTATATTTTTTCTTTTATTTTAATTCTAATAAGAAAACGAAATTTTTCAAAGACCTTAATTCAAATATCGTTAAACGCTTATAAAATTTTATAAAATAATATAAAGAGTAAAATCAATTTATATGCAGGAAGAGTAGTTGACCATTTCGGTTGCAGAAATATTCGATTCTCTCTCACTCTTTCTCCAATAATAGACAAATGCTGTTAAACTACAGAATGATAAACAGAAGCGACATTTATTGTTAATATTTTTTTAATTATTGCTTTTTTTTGAAAAATTTAATTAATTTTGAAACTCAATTGATTTAAATTGTTAGTTTTATTTGTCGTTATTTCATCGATTGTTATTTGACTTTCCGTGGGGGGAATGTCATACGTTGCAAAATCATGCTCAACTAGTCGCGAAACAAATATCGCGTTGCTGTTAAATACCGATGATATTGCCACGTAGCGAATTACGAATTACGTTTTTTACGTCCTGCAGATATCGAAACCTTGTTTATTTTTTTATAACGCGAAAGAACTTTTAATATACACACTCCCGCCAATAATATTTATCGAACCGCGCGATACGATACGATACAGTTGTAAGCCGGAAATTTCCGCAACGCGGAAGTTTGCGTATGCGGTAAATGGAATTAAGCTCGCCGCGTCGCGAGTATTTGATCGTATCGCGGAAATAGAGCGCTCTCTCCTCGTTTTTTTTTTTTTCCGGAACGATCAAATTAAAAACTATGGTAGAGATCTCACGGGCTATGGTTTGGCTATGGTTGGCTCTTCGCGGTATATTTACATTGTAGAATTTCGCGCATGGCCGATATCGCACTGGCGCGATGCATACGGGTTTGTACACCACACACATATAATTTGTATTTCTCACCGCGGTGTGAATATCCCAAGCATCGAGAGCATCGGACGGGGTGCATCGAGATTTCAGAAGCACCGCACTCTTGTCTCGCTCCAGTTAGCACAGCCAGGGGTGCGAAGTCGGTCGTTAACGGGGGCTTGGAGGGGGCTTGGATCTTTTCCCGCGCTTTCCACGGGAAACTCACCCCCGTACGAAGCGAGACGACGGCGACGATGGCACAGGCGACCATCAAGGTAGGCGGCTGATCCCGGAATTTTATTAAAGTTTCACACTCGTCGGGCTCTTTCGCGGCGGCGGGAGGATCGATTTTCGAAGCGATACTATTCCACCCGCATACGTACACTGGTTTATATACTCGGTGTATATAGACTAGGGGGTAGCGCGCGCGACGGGTGCACTCGCCTGAATCGCACCGTGGAAACTGACCGAGAGAGCAATTTCACTTGTAAATTCGTCCCGGGTCGATATATATATATATATATACACACACGTGCGCGCGCGCGCATGCATGCACATAACGTAAACACACACGCGTACACATGTACGTACATACCCGCGTCGAGGAAGGTCCGTTCTAGGAAGGTAGTAGATCCTGAATCTCTCCACGTCGGTCGAGATCCTACCAGCCAGAAATCTACAGGATGAATGCAGCGGACGGGAAAGGGGAGGGGGGGCGGGGTGGACGGGAGGGATAGATTCGACGAGATCCATCCTCTCTCGGGCGTCTGGACCAGGATCAACCGCGTGGGATTCGTCCGGGGATAGTGCCAACCAGCGCGCGGTTCGCCTTCCTTACGTAAGTGGACGTATCTACCCCCGTTTACGAAATCCCTTTGTCTCTGTAGCGGAATATACATCCAGCGGGCTCGGTGGCGCACCGAATGCAAGATTCGAGACCTTCGCCGAGAGTTGGACGCGGAGTGAATTTTCGGAGCGCGAGAGGATGCGATTTAAGGTGGTTTGGTGTCCGTGTGCGCGATCGACCCCTGTTAAAGTTATATTAATTTTCCGACGGTTTTACAGCGGAGTAATCGCGCGGGTTCCAT